GAGAGCTCAAGCAGGGTTGAATGGGTGTAGGACGATTCGCACAACCGTAATGCTTTCCACACAGGACCACCGCCGCGCGCGACACACCCTGCGGCGGCTTTTGCCTAAGCAAAACAGGGGGAGGAAAGGTTTGAGGCATGCATTACATGTTAATACAGGTCAAAATCAGGGAGACTCTGGAGACCGCCCGTGCGAAAAGACCGTCTCCCGGGTTGAATCATTTCCATCACACTGCTTTGCCTCGTGGTTGCGATGAGATAAAAATTTTTGGATAACGCTAGCGAAAGCAGACTCCGTCCAATTTCTACCGCGAACGAATAAAATGGAGTTTGGAGGTCCATTCCCCTCCATTATGGACTTTCGTGGATATCAATCCAGGATAGTATCGTCCCCTCCACAGATCGTGCTACCCTTGTGGCGTCGCGGACGTGCCACGTGTGACTAACACATTGGCAACGTTGGCAGCAACACGTTGACAACATGCAGCAACATGTTGGCGTGGCCAAAATCTCAGACACTTTTTCCGACGGCCCGCGCGCCTTGAGCGTGCGAGCGCTCATGCCTCCCGCCGCCCGTGGAATGAAGGTACGCGGCTCGCTCGCTGAAGGCGCGCCGCTCGCCCGCTCCTTCGAAAGCGTTAGGACCCTATTGTGGTACAGATAGCAATCCTTTGATAAAATTTATATTTTGTCATCGAAATACGACCTCATAGCGTCAGATTTATTGCCAAACATGTATACAGATATGATGATGCAGATTTATTATCCAAAGACTTACAGAACGACATGATACAGAATCAAAAGCAGAACACAACAGGCAGCAATTAATATCATCAATACCTTTTACGCTAAACACCCTCTTGAAAACACGTAAAGCACAGCAGCTATGCTGATACTGAGAAAGCACTGTTAGATACCGGTAAGAGTGACCTGATTGCGCAAAAAAAACCGGAATCCTGTCAGAATTGACACTGAGGCAGTGAACAGATCTTGAAGAACGCTTGAAGCAAAGTACCTTATATTACGAAAGATGAAACAGTAAAGATGAGACACTGAACAATACTTGAAAAGAAAACACAAAAAGAAAAACCTAGACAAATCAATTTTTTTCTGGAGGAGACGTTGGAAAGGAAATTACGCAGATGTTGACAGGCATTAGCTGATGACTGAGTTGCTGTTACATAATCCTTTTTCGGTCAGTAACTTCCTTCTCTTCGGCTGGTGCGGCACGTTTCTGGCGCTGAAAGAAGTGTCAGATCATTATTTAAGTTCGCACAAATTCTCACCTTATTGGCTATCCATTTTCCTGACTCGTAATTGTAGGACCTTATATCTCGTCTGAAATCAAATTCTCAATCACTGTGAAATTTGTAAAGGATCTTTGGACTTACAGAGTCATTTGGAGAGATTTGAATAGTTGAGGTCGCCAATCTTGGCGCTGTTTTCTTAGCTCAGCCAGCGCTTCCATTCTTTTCTTTCGGTATTTCCAAGGTTTCTGTAAAATCTGAAAGGCAAATCTTTTGGTTTTTGCGGATCCTGTTTTAGTCACTCACAAAGACTGATTCAAATCCAGGTTAATCCACTGATCTAATTCCTCGTGCCCGAACCCCATCATGTCTTCACCGAAGTCTGGAAACGTCCATTGAGAGTGATTATTTCTCCAAAAGTGTTCCTTTTATTGACCTCTAAGCATCCTTTCTATTTCTTCTGGTAGATTGAGCAACTCTTCATCCCGTCCAGCGTTTTGGTTGAGGCGAATGGAGTACTTTTTGATTTCGACGGCAGGTTCCGTCATCTAAGAACTCCTTATGTAAATGAGATGTTTGCTTACATCATGACTCACCCTCTTCTCTTGCTATTTTTATCTTGTCTCGTTCAAGATTTCAATAAGAGAAAGATTGCGTGTTCGGCAACGAGTTGGACAGAGTTCGTAACGACATCGAATAATTATCTGCGCTCGGACAAAAGAAAACAAGAAAATTAGGCAAAAGACGGAAACAGTAGGAGCAAGTACCATTTGAAACTCAACGATGATATTTACTTTATATATGAGTCTTGAAAAGAAGTTGAAAAGCTTGAGATGAAAGGATCCAAAGAGGGTAAAGTACTAACGAAAAGGACATGAAAGATAGGCAGATTGATGCAATGGAGAAGAAAACAAAAAGAACTCACGGACTGTAAAGAGCGACGACGGGATGAGGTGATCAGCCTTCCACGAACGACGAAGATTTCAAAATGATGTACTACGCGCGGAAAAGCGTCGTGTCATGATGAACGGGTCCTGACACGTTCATTGGGGCGCCGCTCGCACGGTCACTCACGATGGCGCGCCGCCCGCCGAAAGCAAGGTACGCCGCTCGCACGGCAGGTTTCGATAGCGCGCCGCCCGTCGGAAACGCTGCCACGCCCACAAATTTAGGCGCGCCGCTCGCACGGTAGGCTCTTGGAAGCGCGCGGGCCGTCGGAAAAACTGTCTGAGATGTGGGTGTATGTCGAAAGGCGCGCGCTTCGGCAGTCCTCATTGCCAGAAGGGATGTGTACTCTACAAAGCGAGGTTTCCAAACGCCTAAACTTTTGTCATCATATCCGAAATAGTAACAGAGGATTACTAGTTGAAAACCCGGAAATAGCAAACCAAACTGAAACTTTTTAATGGCTCTTTTGATTAGTCGCAATTAATCAATACGCGCCATTCGACCGTCTCCCCCAAAATGTTCTGCCAACATGTTGGGGCATGTTGCAAACATGTTGTTGCCACGTTGCCAACATGTTAGTCACACGTGGCAGGTCTGAGACGCAGACCAAGGGTAGCACGAGCTTTGGAGGGGACGATACATTCAAGGATCAAGCGCTCACTCTACAACGTGGAGGTCGAAGGATTTGTGTGGAAGCGCCTTGCTAACTAGCTGGGCCCTCGAGCAGCTTCCGACGCCGCTAACACGTTCTGGAGTAGTTTAGTTTTTGAATTTGAACTCCCCACATCGTCGAATCCTTCCGGTTTCGTTCATGTTCTCGCTGCCCTAGATGCCAATCTTACCGATGTGACGCCGTCAACTCCTAATCTCGCTACCGTCGATGTCAAACAGAAAGAGCTGATGACTTTCCTTTCCACCGTCTCTTCCTCCTGTCCCTCTTGAAACTTATCAACCACTGCGGTGTCTCAAACTGGACGCTTAAAAGAAGCGATACAGTCTAACCTAAAGGCAATGTCCGAGTAAGATTTGGGTATGTGGGATTCCAGCTTATGTAGAATGAGCCTTCGGACACGCTCTTGCGGAAGTGCAAAATAAATAGGGCTTGGCACAGGTGGCTTCAAGCAAGCTGGATATTGTTTTTGGGACAAAAGCAAAAGGAGTTTCGTTTTTGTGGCCGAAAAGACACAAATTTGCGACGTTTTTCTAGTCGACGTTTCGTTTTTTGGAGATTCTTTTTAGGAATTATGGTCTAGGGTCAAAGGGGACTTCGTAAAAATTCGCAAAAGTTAAGGAGGACTTCGTTTTTTGCACTTTCATCTAGCCACCTCGTGCCGAGCTCTAATTATAACATCGGACTAAAAGCGAGAAATCTGCTCGAAAGTGAGGATTTATGCAAGGAAAAGGCCTCTCCCATCGACAAGTGTGCATGCCGTTACAGTCAAGATGATAGGGTCCTACAGCGGCTCTGCGTCTCTGGCGACAACTGCTCCACCGTCTAATTTCCAGTTGAGAAAAAAAAACGCATGATCTCGCTGTTTCCGCTTTTGAGATCTCAATGAACGGGTAAGCCTAAGAGAGCGAAAAAGCTAGAAAATGATTTTTGATAGGGGATTGGAATGAAATGTTGAAGGTGGTATTGTTATTTGAGTTAGAATCCTTTGACCAGATTGCCCTTTTGCTGTGAATGATCTCTAGGTCCTGTTGCTGATATTGATCAAATGGTATAAGCGCCATTATAAGCGCCTATCGGCTTGCTCCCAATTCGTTACTCGTCCGGTCACATAATATTATTCATAATTTGTCTGGAGCCTCCAACCGATACAACGGAGAACGGAGACTATAACAGGCTGAATCTCCTCGATTCTGTTCGAAAATCGCAGCTGGAAACGTTTTTAGATACCTGTTTCTACAGGTACGCCAGTGGCGTACCGAGGGGGGGCGCCCCCTTCCCCCGAAAATGGGTCGCGAAATTCTTGAAAGTTACTTATATGGGTTATAAAAATGTGCAGAAGACTTGTTTACACTTTTAAATAATTAAAATAATTTTTAAAAAATTTTTAAAACTCAATTTAGCCTTATAAAAAATTTTTTCGGGGGCGTGGCTGAGGCCATGCCCCCTTTTTCCAGATTTTAGGGGTTGGGGACCCGCAAAAATTTTGAGAAGCACCTAAAATTTTTTCGGAGTGTGTGGCTAACGCCACTCACCTTCATTCGAAAAAAATTTTTGTCGCCCCCCCCCCGAGCGGAAATCCTGGGTATGCCACTGAGGTACGCATAAGTGTCTTATGGTTTTTACGCAATTTCAAAAGCTGGGGATTTTCCAAGAAAATATTGGAAATGAAGGGTCACTTAGGGGGGAGAATTTGCACTGAAAAGGCTCTGTTTGCATGTTACCGAATCTCGCTTAAAACTCAACAGAAATTTGAGTTACCTCAAATCACACAAACACAAATAGTGAGTTCAAAATTTTGGGGAAATCTGAGCAATCACGTGAAAAATCTCATCGTCAGTGATTGTTAAAAACGGAAGGAAATTTCTAATACCACTTATAGTACTCGTCTATCGTGATTCCACTCAACGTGCGGTTAATTCTGTAGAAAGGTCAAAAAATTCCCATGACTTCTGACTCAGTCTGGTAAATGATGTGATGTGTGGCAATTCAAAAACCTAAATAATATGATAGTCTCTATTTCATTCAAATAACTGCTACCCCTATGCAAACTTCTGAATGGGATTGATAACTCAAGCAGACGACCTTTTATTATTCTAGCATTATAGCTCTCTATTTTACTGTGAACGCAATTTTCTATCCTTTTGGTGTCGAAGTAGTGCTTTTCTCTAGGTATTCATTCTCAAGTATCGGCGTGGTAGGATGTAATGCTAGCCAGTAAGCTTCGAGAAATTTGAAGATTTTCCGTGTCGCATCATCCAGATCGTTGTCTTCGATGATCAAATCTACCTGCAAAAAGCAAGATTAACATTTTGCAAATCGTAGTCGTTTATGTACCTGATCTGGAGATAGCTGATTCAGAGCGTCTGCTCCTGCAATTGCATGTCCACCTTTGATGCCGCTTTTCTTTAGAAGTTTCAGTAGAATCTGAACATGATCTAGTATTTCTGTAGTTCTGAATACACCTATCTGTATTAAGGTACTCTCATATCTTCTTTGATTTGTTTTGATTGATTTTTTCAGGATATCTTCATCTTTGTACTCCAAGGAGTTCGGAGACACTTGGTGGATATTTTTCGACAAATTTGCAATCACATTATTTCAAAATCAAGAAATCGCAATTCATGGAAAATGGGTATGATTACAAACATCTGAAACGCATATCTGTCTTTAAAGGCAGCGTCCAGGCAAGTCTGGACCTATGGGGATTTTACGTGGAAAGTACTTTTGGGGCCCTAACTAAGCCACTGCCCAACCGGAAGCTCAGGTAGTGCCCTAACGCCTGAGATAGTCCCCTCGAAACTGGACTCCGCGACAGTGTTTCGCATGGATTCATGGCGCAAAGCGTGGATCCTGGCGCAAAACTGCCACCATGAATCCATGCGAATACGTTCGCGGGGGCCATTTTCGAGGGGAATATCTCAGCCATTAGAGCACCACCTAAGCTGCCGCTTGGGTAGTGCCTTAGTTAGGGCCCCAAAAGTACTTTTCACGTAAAAGCCCCATAGGTCCAGATCTGCCTGGACGCTGCCTTTAGAGGCAGTGTCCGGGCAAAAAATCGATTTTGAGATTTTGTGCTTACTTGGGCCTATTCGCTATGCTGAATTCGAAAATCCACACCGGAAAGCGCGAAAATGGCCAGAAAGGGCTCTAACGTAGGCGTGAATTCAAAAAGGGTCGGGGTCTTCCCCACGGCGAATTCACGGTCTCAGCTTCCGGAGCGATCTTCTCGCTTCCGATTCCAGATCATGCGTTCGCATTTGGTCTGTGGAGATGTCAGGACGGTAAGCGGAATCAAAAAGATTGCTCCGGAAGCTGGGACCGTGAATTCACCGTGGGGAGGACCCCGCCCACTTTTGATTTCACTCCTTGTTAGAGTCCTTTCTCTCCGTTTTCGCGCTTTCCAGTGTGGATTTTCGGATTCAGCATGGCGAATAGGCCCAGATAAGCACAAAATTTCGAAATCGACTTTTTGCCCGGACACTGCCTTTGAAGGCAGTGTCCGGGCAAAAACTCGATCTTGAGATTTTTTGCTTACCCCGGGCTATTCGCTACGCTGAATCCGAAAATGCACATTGGAAAGCGCGAAAACGGCGAAAATGGCTCTAACTTGGGAGAGAAATCAGCAGGTGGGGGGGTCCTCCCCACTGTGAATCACGCTCCCAGCTTCCGGAGCGATCTTCTCGGTTCCGATTTCAAGTCATGCATTCGCACCTGGCTGGTGGAGATCTCAGGGCGCTAGAGGAATTGGGAAGATCGCTCCAGAAGCTGGGACTGCAAAATTCACAGTGGGGGAGGACCCCGCCCACTTTCGATTTCCCTCCTGCATTAGAGGCCTTTTTTGCCGTTTTTGCGCTTTCCAATGTGAATTTTCGGATTCTGCATAGCGAATAGACCCGGGTAAGCATAAAATCTCAAAATCGACTTTTTGCCCGGACACTGCCTTTAAGTATGTCCCATAATAGTGTTTAGCAGTGGTAGTCAGAAAAATTTTTTCGGGGGAAGGGAAAGAGGAGACAAAAATATTTTAAAGTAGTTTCCATGTTTCGCTTTCTTTAAACCTGGGCATCGTATGTATTCTTCAAGTGTTCTGAGCCACACAGGTTTTTTTAGATGGTCTTTATTATTCAATCACGGCCTAACCTTTCGACGCCTTCGTCTTCCTCAGAGGCCTGAAAGTGGTTCAAAACGTTATCCGTGACTCCAAGCCACCAAACACTTCCCCTAGTCCGGCTAGTTCTCAACTTTCGCTCAGCTTTCCTCTTATAAAAATGTCAGGACAAAAGATGAGCGTACCGAAAGACCACCGCTATATATGGTTTCCGCACCGGAAATGATGGTCGTGGCGGAAGAATAAACTATACCATAAATGACAATCCAATGTGATCTATAGACCGCATAACGATATGAACGGAAGAAAGTCAGAGGTTATCGACAAATACTCATTCTTGTTGTTCATTTCTGGTTTCTTTGCAGAAATCCAGAAAGCCTCTAATGCTTTCCTAGCCGAGGTCTCCTTTTCACAAGCTAAGATCTTACACTTGATATCAAAGTCTTCTCCATTATGCGCCTCGCTTCTATGCCTGCCTAAAGCTGAAGATAATGTTTTACGCTTTTTATCTGCTAGATGTTCTTTAACACGAGTACTGAGTGCTCTTCCAGTCTCCCCAACATAAAGCGCGTTGCAATTCAGACATTCTATTTGATAAATTACTCCCACTTTTGCACAATCACCTAATTTACCATGCGGGCAAACTACACAATGTTCTGTTATACAGTATCGATCGTATAGTCTGTTTCGAACCAATTGCTTTTTGATATTGTCATTCGGAACGTCCACCAATACAATATCATCCTGCAATTGTGCACGTAAAATGCATTTTCGAAGAGCCGCGCTGATACTATCATCAAGACCTTATAATAACGGGCTAAGGGTTGTTTACGTGTTATTGTGTGTGTGTGTGTGTGTGTGTGTGTGTCCGTCTGTTACGAAATTCGTAGAGCGTGTTCCAGCCACCGTTCTAAGCCCAAATTTCGCATAGTGCATGCTACCTTCATGAAAGTCCAACATGCAAAAGCACGAGTAGATTCGTTGAGTGGATCTCTCAGAAATTGCGCGCCAAACGGATCCACCTGGCTTCTGTCCCGCAAAATTGGGTGTGTATCACCACTTTTTGCAAAGTCGTGGATGTGCTTGGTAAGCGAATGTGCAAGCGATGGACTTTAGCTCAGAAAGTGGTCAAAAGTTTACTGTATAACGAAAACGGCGCCAAAAAGGATTGGTTGCGTAAATGGTCAATTTGCCAAGGTGCTAGCCAAGCGTTTGAGAAGATTTTCGCACAGAGATGTATCTCGTGGTTACTATTGCCTTCATGGCGACTACCAAGCCATGACAAATTGTAAAAAAAACTATCCAACTGCGTTTGTCTTCCTACGAAAAGTTTCATCCATGCGAAATCACCGAACTCACGTGAAAAAACTTCCTAAATGAGTAGTTGTTTACATCTTATTCGTGGTAGTCGGCATAGCGCGGTGAGTTCCAGTGAGAAGATTTTATAAGCATGAGCAAGGCACATAGATAGTATAGCCAGTGCGTGCCTCTGCGAAGCAGAGGTGACGCACTGGTAACTTATAATAACGGGCTAAGAGTTGTTTACGTTTTTTTGTGTGTGTGTGTCTGTCTGTCCGTTACGAAATTCGTAGGGAGAGTTCCAGCCAACCTCTTGAGCCCGAATTTTGCATAACACATCCCAGCAGCAGGAAAGTCCATTGTGCAAAAGCACAGGCGGATCCGATAAGTGGATCCCCTAGAAATTGCGTGCGAAACGGGTCCACTTAACTTCTGACCAGCAAAATTGGGTCCGTATATAAAATTTTTGCAAAGTCGTGGATATATTTGACAAGCTAATGTACAAGCCGTGAAGTTTAGCCCAAATAATTCAACTAAAGTTGGTTACTTTATGAAAATGGCGCCAAAAAGTATCAGTGCGTAAATGTTCAATTTACCACGATTTTACGTGATCATTTGAGAAGATTTTTGCACAGAGATGCAGCCCACGATGATTATTGCCATTATGGCGACTACCAAGCCATGAAAAGTCCACAAACCTATTCAAATTTGTATTTATTCTTCTGAGAAAAGTTTCATCCACGTGAAATTACCGATCTCGCACAAAAACCTCTAGGAATGAGTAGCTGTTTACAAATCATTCGTGATAGCCTGCATAACGCGGTGAGTTTCACTGTCATCATTATGCGGAAATTAGTAAGGCATACAGAATGTAAGGCCAGTGCGAGCCTCTGCGAAGCAGAGGTGACGAACTGGTCCGATATAAATGGAATGCATAGTGGGAGTTTATTATCATGAGCGTTGTTACCATTCGCAGGCTGTCGAGTACGTGGTAAAGAATGGTAGCCATTACTGCAAGCGATATGGGAAGCCAAATCTCGTGACTCGCATCGTTCCTTTTCTCCGGAGCACATCTGCGTAGCCGTATCGAACATATTCCTGATTACAGCGCGCTTCACGGATGAAGGATGGGCAGATTTGACATTTAAGAGGATTTTCTTAGAGCTTTCTTTGCAATCCCATTTGAACTCAGTTATGCCGTTGGACAGCCTCACTTGTGCTTGAGATAGGGTAGCCATCCGTCGCGTGGTGTCTCTCGTGTTTTATGTACTGCGACTGCTGGTTGAAAATCTCGAAACACTTGTTCATTTCGGACTGTGTGGAGGTCGCTGTACAGCAGTCATCGATATAACGGCAGTACATTAGCGGCATTCGAGCTAGCACCGGTTCCTCGATCTTGCTCATGAAGCAGATAGCAAGTACAGGCGCTAGTCTCTGACCCATTGATAACCCACGTATCTGGGAGTAGTAAGTCCCAGACCATCTAAAGATGTTACACTTCAAACATTCGTGTATCAGGGTCATTGTCCGCAACTTGCCAAGTCCAAAGGTATTGATGGTATTGCCATGCCTATCCAACATCTCTGATAGCGCTTGCAGGGCTTGTTCACGCACATTAGTGTAAAGCGAAGTCACGTCAAATGACTCGATTACAGTGCTCGAATCAAACTTAGCGCTGCGAAGCTGTTCGATAAATCCGTGTGAGTTGGATAGATGTGCAGGAACCTTGGACAGCAGCTGGCTCACAATTTTATTCAAGAACCATGCAATTCTGTCGGTAGGGCCGCCTACACAACTTATAATTGGTCTGATCTTGTAGGTGTCCTCCGACATTGAATTCATGTCTCGCAAAGAAAGCTTGTGCGTTTTGATCAAGCTATAAAACACTGGAAAACTTGGACACCTAAGCTTCAATCTGTTGATAAACCTTTCGTCAAGTCCAGCTGATTTTGCTATCGTGGTCCAAGCGTCATTCAACTTTTTACATTGGATGATTTTTACATTGTAAAACTCTTTCTCAGAGACCATTCTATACGTTGTGGTGTCCGCAAGATGCGCTGCTGTTATTCTGCGATCTAACTCCTGAGGCATTACTACAAACTCGCCGCCTTTATCGCTTACAGACACACGTATTGAACCGTTCGAGATGAGTTTGCGTAACTCTTTGAAAGCTTGCCACTGTTCATATGACAAGTTGTTCTGATGTTGATGTTTTGCTCTGTTGAGAACTTCCAAAACACCAGAGCATAAAAGACGGAACTTTGTGTCTACCTCAAGAACGGGAGACGGTTGTCTGTAGAACGATTGAGGGAAAGGAATTGATGGTAAGCCGTTAGATTCGTAAGACGCCATTGCTGGATTACCTCTATGTTTAACTCTCAGTCTTGGAGTGTCTCTGACTTTGTGCAGGCTTCCAACAACTTTGCGATAAGTAGCAGCATTGACGTTCTGCGCAGGAGAGAATGAAGGTCCAAGGCTAAGAAGCTCGATGATGTTAGAAGAAATTTGAGTGTTGCCAATAACAGTGACTCTTGGCGCTTTTGCATTGTAACATGAAAGTTGTTCAGAGCGGTCATCGGCTTTGCTACTATTGTCACGTGAGCGATTTTTACATAGTTCAGCCAAGAGTCGGTCGTACTTTGCACGGAGCTTGGATTTAGTCTTAGATCGAATCGAATCACAGATTAATTTTGAACCATCCTCAATCCTCCTCCAACGTTCGTAAGGCAAGAGACGTTTACATGCCTGTTCTTTCGTATCACATTTTAACAAAGTCGTATACAATGATCTCTGTTTTTCTTTGATGATAACGTTCAAAATCGATTGGTAGATCTCCACAATCTTCGGATCATTTTCGTCGAGACCACAGGTATGGCCTATTTTCTTATCGCGAATGAAGGCAGGCAGTATGTTGGATTTCTTGCAACGTTGGAGGAACAGTAAGGATTGGCGTACGACTACCACCTTTTGTCGCAGTGATAGTGTCTCACGTGTCAAGCGAAATTTATTCGGCAGTACGTCCTTCAATAGTTTCCATGTTTCGCTTTCTTTAAACCTGGGCATCGTATGTATTCTTCAAGTGTTCTGAGCCATACAGGTTTTTTTAGATGGTCTTTATTATCCAATCACGGCCTAACGTTTTGACGCCTTCGTCTTCCTCAGAGGCCTGAAAGTGGTTCAAAACGTCATCCGTGACTCCAAGCCACCAAACACCTCCCCTAGTCCGGCTAGTTCTCAACTTTCGCTCAGCTTTCCTCTTATAAAAATGTCAAATATAAAATATAAAATGAAATATAAAATGAAATATAAAATGAAACGTTAGGCCGTGATTGGATAATAAAGACCATCTAAAAAACATGTGGGCTCAGAACACTTGAAGAATATTTTAAAGTAAATGATCTGACATGGCATTAACCACGCCATTCAAAGTTTTCTGAAGGCTTTCAACTCTTCCGCGGCCCCATGGTCCTGAAGTTTGAACTATAAAAGCGCTTTGAATTTTTAGAATTTTCAACGAATCCTTCTAACATTCAAAAGTAAACCCTAGGCTACTTTTGAAAATATCGTGACCTATTCTCCGAAAGGAGGGATAGATTGCTGCTTGGTTCTATGTTTTACTTCTTAGCTCATCTCTAAAAATGGCTAGTCTGTGGCAGTCTCCAAGATCTGGATAAAGGATCGCATGTCCAACTCTTGTTCTTGTACAATTATGAGTTCATAGTTTATCCTAGGAATTGCTCACCTTTCTGTTGCTGATCCTGAACAAAAACATTATAGGAGCCATGTTGAGCTTCTCTACATCGCTTGGAGAGCTGATGTTGGGACACTCGAGCAGAATTAAGTGTAGGTCCTCAGTCATCGCAGTAATGAGGCGAAGTTCTCTCTCGTTAATATCTAAAAGTGAATAAATTATAGCTGTTCTTATTTTCACTTTCAGCTACCGTATGTCAATTTAGATGAGCCTTTGTCACCAATGTCAGTAGCCAGCCGACGCACCCTACTGCCGAATTTCTTCACTATCGCGGACCTGAAGGAACTTTGCAATCATGGAAATGCCATTCGATCAAGAAGACGAGTTTTCGCTACAGAAAAACTTTTTTCACCAATGGAGCCGAACCTGACTGCTGCATGCATTAGCTGCGTTAGCCTTGAAGATTGGTAGCATGGTCCAAGTAAGACGATGGGGCGAGTAGATGGAACTACCGTATATGGTGTTGGGCATTCCCAGATTTCCGCCTGTTTTGATCTGCAAATAATTATAATGGGGGAGAACGGATGGTTCACTCTTCCATCATCTTCAAGGTTTTGAATGGGGTAAATTTCTCCCAAACGGAGAGCTTTGAGATGCTCATGTTCTCAAAATTTTGTCTCACTAAAAACAGCTGATATCTATCATATAGCGGCAGGCAAATGTAGGAGTGTAAGACCAACTTTTATAGAAGTCTTCTAATTACTGTTCACAAAAAGTTTTTTGTCTGTAGCACCCTTAATAGATTTCGTGCAGGCACTTTTTAAAAAAACTTTTTATTTTCTGGCTTGCTAGGTAAAATCGTTATTACTACATATAATCTAATGATGAGAGAGCTCAATGAAATTACATAGAAGTGATTTTTAGATACACTGCATTCCACGAACAACAGTTAACATATGTATAGCTGATTATTGCTCGTACTTTACTTTTATTGCATTTGGCTATCATTCCAAATAATGAGATGCGAGTTTTTTTTCTCAATCTTGTAGACTATCAGGAGAAACCAGTTTTATCGTGCTATGGCTGGTGATTAAAGTGATTATGTTGTCGAGCCTCTGTTTTTGCCTTTATTTTGTTAATAAAACCGTTTTGTTAAATATCAAGTCCCAATGCCAAACTTTTGTGCGCCTGCAGCAATCGCTCCCCTCTTTTTTCCATCTTATTGTTAGGCCCAGTCTTACGATACATATAAAAATGACAATGAGAAAAGTTTCCGATGGGTCAAGGGACTTCGTAAATTTCTGAATGTCTGTGGGGACTTTGTTTTTAGAAACTCTAGAAATCTACTTGTGCTGGGCCCTGCTTCCAAGCTGCAAATTCTTATCTCTTTTCACACCATTTCTTAGCCGTCAATGAGTGCCCCATTCACATAAGTTCCCACTTTACTGATGGCAAGGCTATTCAACGATAGCATCGAGACGAAACAGATGTTCGTTGACAAAAGCATGCTCAAAGGGTCAATGCCAGTGATCAGGCCGTGGATTCCCACGTGAAGTAATGACGCGCGGCCTTTGGCAGATGTCACCAAATGGGCTCATAAAGGTGGGGCTAGCTGTAATTAGAGGCGGCTAATAGTGAATACCGCTGATTTTGCTGGGAGATTTGGAAAAGTCCAAAAATTTTTTGTGTTCTGTGATAGAAAAAGTTGTCCTTACACTATGGCATTTTTCTCAACAGCGGGTTGTTCCGGCTCCTCGTCGTTCTGCTCCTCCACCAATCGAGCCAATCGCCTTGCCGTTGGGATAAAGCCGATCTTTGTTTCCTTGGCCACCACTCTTCCAATCCACCAATCCGGAGAGTAGCGCTGAAATGCATCTACCGTAGACTTACAGTAACCCCTTGCAAGTTATGACTTCGGGATAGTGCTCTTCTCCTCTAATTAATGTCTTTGTTTACTTTTATCATCAGTTGCATCACTCAGATTGCACTTCGGGTACCCATACCCTCAACCATCGTGCGCGCCTAATGAGGACAGATGTTTGCTCGTGTTCTAATCCCAATGATGGCTTGCTTATCTGATTATTACATATTTGATTGCGCTGTTTTATTTGGACGGCACAGCTCGTGTCAAACACCTGAGGGAATTTACTAGGTTGTTGGATGAACTATGAGACATTCTTACCATGTAAATATGCAAGAAATCGCCTTTGTTGTAAGAAATTGTCTTTTTCTGAATTGGAGATTCATCTTCAAGAGCTCCATCGTACTTGGCGTTGGCTTTGACAGCGAATGCTACTTTGAGGTTCTGGAACGAGCAAAAGATTAATTGCACACTAGAAATGTCCTCCGCATTAGATATGCCTAGAAAAAAGTGAATGGTAGAAAAACGAAAAACGAAAAACGAAAACCTCCGACATTTCTATCGAACCAGTAACTTCTTCCTGACTTGTACTAGGTTGGAACATAAGTCTTGCACCAAAAATCCCGAAAAATTCATTCAAAACATTAGTTCATTAGTTAACCGCTCCACTTGTGAAATATTTCTTACGTTGTAGATATATGGATATATTTTGTAATCGATATTAGAGATTTGTTGTGAACAAAACCAAAATCAGCAGCTCGAATCACAATTTCTCTCAGAGACATCCAATCAGTACAAATCTATTTTTGAGTAGAAAGCAGGTCATGAAACCAAAACCAGAAGCCAAACTCTAAGCTATGGATCATTGTAGCAAAGTGAAATTAAAATCAAAAAACATGTAAGCGTTTGTCATCAGTCTTTATTCCGCCGGATAATAATGAGTATTTTTGCATGGGCACTACTAGCTAGCACAGGATCTTTCTCTCTACAAATCAATCAAGCAGATCCACTGGATCTGGAGGAACATAGATTTTCAAAAATTTTGGTTGAAACTATATTCCTAACCTAATAGTTTCTGGGCGAGCTCCGTCATAAAATACTCGATTTTTTTTTGTCCATTCTACTCATTCCAAAATAGATATTGACCTCCGTTACCTAGAGATTAATCCGCTCCCATGTTTTCCTTGAACTACCGTATCCGGCCAAGTATTTGTCGAAGCGAGCGCACAACGGACGTATGACCGATTTCGCCGCTGCCAACAATGCATCGCGTGTTAATTCGTCCACACCTGCGTTGAGCCGCAACCACCTCGAGTAAATACGCACATACACGTAAATTTACGAACACAATGGTGTACGGTGACTTCTGGCTAATGGTTGCTTTGGTAGTGATTCTCTAGCTTTGTTTTATCTTCATGATCATCGCATTTTGTTGCAAGGAGAAGGTTTTGAGTAGTAGTTCTTGACATTAAATATTTTTGATTTTTTGCGAGTTCTAGAAGTGTTTTAAAAATTCGAAGCGGATGCATAAGATAGTCGCGCAAGGCTTACAATCTTGATACCTGAGTATATCACGAGCTGTGATATTTTTCAAAACCTCCAAAAATTCCAATTTGCGACTCCAAGCGGGGGAAGTGGTAGGGCGGAAAGCGACAATACGCGCCAAATGCAGGAAATTTGAAATTGCTCTCGCTAGCTTCAACGGAATTTCATTTATGGCCCCGGCTATATATCTCTTCCACTATTCACTCCCTCCCCCCTTCCCCCCTCCCCTAGTTTAACGCCATTCTTAGCATCGAAGAGTTTTTGAAAAGCACAAAATTCAAAAATTGTTTCCAGCACCACTCCACGTCGAATAGCCAAATCCACAGCAGTCTGCTCACAATATCTTTTTTGAAAACTACTCTATCAATAAACCGTATGTAAAGTCGGTAAATGAAGAAACTGCTCCGCATGACCGTCTCATGCTCAAAATACTTTTTAAAGCATTGAATTATCTAAACAATGAATACTTCAAATAAAGCTGAAGTGTTTGCAGCAGTTTTGTGAACACTCAGCTTACTATACGCAGGCTGTTCACAATTCAAATTTTCAAGTACTTTGCATAAAAATTTACTTCCCCTCTCCTAAATTTCTATTCAAAGCAGAGATGGAATAAGCTGAGTAGGTATATGGATCTGTAACTTTTACACAATATCGATTCAAAATTGAGTATTTTTTCCTTTTCCTTTTCTTTTGTTCAAGTACATTTTTTTGTGGATTATGGTGAGAGAAAATCTGAATCATCAACTCTAGATTAATGTGCGTTACGATGTGGCCAACAAGGGAAGGATACTAGCTTAGATTTGCCTTCTGAAATGAGACACATATATTTGAAATCAGCTTGGAACGCTGATTTCAAATATGCTATTCCTAGCTGCTTAGCGTTATTCTGAGGCGAGTTATGGTCTTATTTCTAAGCAAAGTCTGATACTATGTAGGGTGTCGACGTCTAGGTGGTTTTGCAATTGTATAATGCCCCCTTCAAAATCGAAAGAACTAATCCGATGCTAGTTCAACTCCTTAGCATTTTTTCTTGAGTAGATTCTCATCTACACGCCGTCTTACGATATTCAGAAGTTTGTTAATTACTCACAACAGCAAGCCCATAACTAGCTCCGAAATAGCGCTAAGCAGCTGAGAACAACATATTTGGAATCAGCGTTCAAAGCTGATTATAAATATATGTGTCTCATCTCAAAAGGCAAGTTTAAATTAGTATCCTTCCCTTGTAAGAACTTTTATCTAGACATGGACTCTACTAACTAAATACAAGGTACTCCAAAAGTGTGTACAAGCCCTGCAACTGTCTCGCTTGCCTTGAGGTTTTTAATGGACGTGTATTCATCATTTTAGCTAGCTTTACTTAGGTTGAGGTACTCAGCGAACATTTAGATTCGTTATTGTAATATCGAGATAGAAACTTCAAAAAGTGTCTTAAGAGCGTGAGATCTGGCTTAAAAAGAGATCCAAACAATTTGCAAATTACTTTAAGCATTCAAGGTGGCTAATTTTAGATATGGAATTTGCATTTCACCGTATATCTTTTCAAAAGACCAAACCTTTTTTCAACGCTTTTAAAATATGTGTTAACCCGTCAAGAAAAAACTTCGCAGTACTGCAGGAAAAAAGCTTTTGAACCCCTCCCCCCTTTACAGGTTTTCAAAAATTTTTGGAAACTTTTTTGAGGACTGCACTACATACTTTTTACCGTAACCCTGCAATAACGGGATCAATAATTTTCTTCATATTGAATCTAAGCTGAAAAAGCTGTACTGGATAATAGATCCGCTAGAAACTAGCAAGAAAGTTCTTTAATCGATGGTAACAGTTTTTTGGGACACCCGTAATTTGTCTCGAGTTTCCCCGTGCCTAGCCGCTTTCTCCTGATTGTTCGTAAGCGAAAGATGACCACACCTCATCGAAGGTTCTTACCAGGGTAATTATGTCAATTATGCGCGCGCTCACTATCATCGACACACCTGGGCAATCAAGGGTGCGACGTTTTTTGCATCAAAGCGGGCCGCTTCGGCTCAAGTTCAAACATCTCGTCGTCTCGTAACACAACACTGTGCAAATGTTGTCTTTGCCCAAATTGACTATAGGGCGCGCCCTCCTTCCCTCAAGTCTACGGTAAGCAGAGCCGGCGAGTCTCAATTCAAAACTTCGTGGGCGATAGGATCAGCAGTGGGGATTGTCCTTGAAGCGCGTCAAAATTTGTTGTGCCAGCGTTGACGCTGAAAAGGTGTGACAAGTTCTCGATTTGAACATCTCCACTGTGTAAACGATGCTTATCGACTTCTCTATCACTCCGCCGGGGTTGCGAAGTGTGATAGATGGTCGCTGATGGCACAGACAGCAGTTAAGGCCATTAGGCCCGCCACACATCAGTGGCCGATTACGATCGCAGCTTAATGAGTTTAAACAGAAGCCGGTAGTTAACGGGCAATAATGAGACACAGCCGGGGTATGCCCGCGCAAAAACCCGAGCTGCGGGCTGCATGGCCCGTCGAAAAAGTGCTGGCCAGAAGGCGCAGTGATGATTTATGTGATGTGCTTACCACTGCGGCTCGAAGGTGTTTTAGAGCGTGTTGGTGGTTGCGTTCCTTGCGCTGCGCTTGGCTGCGCTTTGCGTCGTGGATCAGAGGCAGTCCTGGCTGGAAAAAAGTTCTTTCGTGAAGAAACTCTATAAAATATAGAACCTACAATCAGCTTCAATATTCTTTTTTACCGAAAAAATCACATAGAAAAGTTGAAATATCAAAACTGGTTTTGAAAAAAAAGCTGAAAACAGCTTTGCAATATGTGCTGAGCTTTCAGTTACTCAATTTATTTCTTAAACAATATTTGTGTGTCTTTGCCCTACATATCGAGATCTTATTTTTTGAAGGCATAACTCAGATTTGTTTTCCGGAAGAAAGTTTATTGGCTAACGATACGACGGCTAAGATGAATGGGAATTGGGTATACATTCAGTCGTATACGAAAATAATAATTCTATCATACAGATGGTAATTCCAGTCGATCAGAATTTTTGACATTTTTAGTTAGTAGATGAATGATTCAACTTGGTTTTACTGACATTTTTGCTCTGACTGTTGCATCCTCACTCTTGCTGTAATCTTTTCTTCAGTTTGAAGAGTTCGTAGGGAGTCATATAAACTTCATTGTTCTTCTTTTGCAGCATAATTTGCACAAGAGTGTTTGATTGCCCACAAACTGGGTTTCAAAAGAGACGGGTTAAATTTTCTCATCAATTCTTTCATCAGAACTTTTAGATGATTCATAATCTTGCACCAAATGTAAGAAACTTATTCTAAAAAGCTTGAAAATTCCTTTAATATCATTTGCATGTTTTTTCTCTTCTATTTTTTCAACAAAAATGAACATTTTTTTTGCAAATAAGGGAATTTATAATTAACAAGATCAGAATTTCACCAAGGAAACTAAAGAATCTTAAGAATTCGCAGATATATCCTATCAGCACTAATTAGAAAAGTGTAAGTGGCAGAATTTCAGTCAAAAGTGAGCTTGAATTTGGTTCCTCTTTTTGGCATTTCTAGCTACCAAACTTTTAGAAAAAAAATCGACTCGACTGTTTCTCTTCATCATCTCCTGCTCTCGTGATATGCCAGTATGGGTTTTTGCTTTGAGCCAAAGCGCATGATTACTTCTTCTCAAGCCATTCTGTCATTCTGTCGAAATCTCACCTCTTTTGGCGACTCTTTGTAAGCATAAAGAAAATGCTGCAAATTTTCCCTGGCTATCGTGTGCATCTCGCAATTTCTTCGTCGTTGGACCTGCCTTCTCCTGCTGAAGCGGTGAAAAACGTCTAAAGACTGGCCGCGAATGATGAGTTAGTGTCAATCCATCTTCGCCTACCTCAGCAGTCACTGATCCTTAGGGATTTGAATGCGCAGGAGTGGCATTGATTCCCATACGAAGGAAGCCGAGTCCGTTCGTCGTCGCCGACTTCGCAACGGTGGTTGCGCGTGTTTCTGGCATCGCTCAGCTGAGTTGCTCGTCTCACTTTCACCCACATTTTCAATTCAATTACCGCAATTTGTCGCCGTTTTGCTTGTATCTGCAGCTGTTCCGGTGAATCTAATAATAGTTGGCGTTGGGTGTGGAAACAGGAAATAACGCTGAAAAAGGTGGGAGAGAAAAGTGATTTTTAGCTTAGATCGATAAGAAACTGTTCATGTCATGAGTCCCTTGTATAGAATTTTTTGCAGAGTCTCTTCGAGCTTTCTGTTCACAAAAAAAATTCTTTTATCAACATTATCGGACATGCTGAAAAACACCCGTAGGACTCATACGGTTGTGCTCAAAATCCTCCCTCTCTCCCTTCCCCTCTTTTTTCCTCTTCCTCTGCTGATTATCTTCAGAACCCTACTTCATATTAGCCGTGCGCTTGATTGAAGAAATATACTTTCCGTAGAATCTTCTTATATTTTAGAACGGACACTCTTTCATCAAAATGGGCATGTTGGTAATTATTCCTGGCTCTGTTACTATGGTGCTCAAAAATTCACCCCCTCCCGGCCTTCTCCCCTCTTGCTCTGCTAATTATTTTTTAAACGCTACTTTTATCAAAACCTGTGCGAAGTGATGTCAATTTTCAAAGTTAATTTCTGAACTGTGGAAATTTTGTGTACATCCAAATCATTTGAACTCTTCAATAATTGAAAATAACCTTTTTGAATATTGCATTGTTATCAAATTTAGATGTCTTAAGAGAAGACTTGTTGGAAGTACATCAGAATATATAAGTTAACCACAGAAAATCGCAGAAAATCGAACAGTAACCACAGAAAATCGCAGAAAATCGAACAGTAACCACAGAAAATCGCAATGCTGCGGCAAATTTTTTCTGAAAGGTAGGTTGCCGGAAAACGTCGGACTTGAAAATTTGTTGCTTCTTTAGTCCTGCAGATACCTCTGCAAGACATGTTTTGCTTTTTTTTCTGTTTTTATGGGTTAGTGCGTCGTTTGCGACTACGTTTCTATATCCTTTATACTTTTCGGCTTAACTCACATTTCTGGCCATAGAAACTTGAGCGCGGGGACTAAATTTCAGTCCAAAATCTATATTTTGAAGATAAATTAATTTTAAATCTTTTCTCTGTTCTCTTATTAAGCAATTCCGCAAGCTTCACCATGGATTCTATTTTTGGCACGCTCTGGTGGAAGTCCAAAAAAATTCTACCCAGTTTTTGGCGGAAATGCCCACTATCCCCTACAAATCGTCTCAATGTCACTCTTCTTGTCATCTCTACCAAATATGGCTTGTCATCAGTCGGTGAACAATGTGGTCTTTGTCATTACGGCATTGACAGATGATTCGTCATCGTCATCGGCTGCTGACCTCAACCGCTCACGATTGTGGTCATTCAAAGTAGCAGAGCTAGACGAAATGTTTAGGTAGCCGTTGGAGTCAGCCGTTTGAAATACGAGTTCTGCTTGCTTTGGCATTTTCCTCATTTTTTGCCCTTTTTTCTAGAAAATTCTGTCGGGAGTTCACGCCTGAACAGTAGTCGTAGCCATTGATAATAATTTAAGTTTTTGATTTTTGTTATTCTTACCCCGATTGATTTGATTTTTCTTTTTCTTTTCACACGTGAATCCCATTTTCACTTTCTTTTCGACTACTTAGACGAGGAAAGTTAAACTAATTCCATGAATGAGGTCCGTGACACCTCCTTTTTCTCGATGTTTATCACATCTATTTCATAATATGAGCTTACGTCAAACCAAATGTCAACCCATATCTTTTATTATTGACCGAATCCTTTTCTCTCGTCGCAGTCACACTTATGGTCTGTATGTAAAGCTATGCAAGCTCAGTGAGAACTGCTATTTAGCGGACAAATTTTTCGTTTTTTATTCTACTTTTTAGAACAAACTTCACTCACACTTCATTCGGATTATTCTCTTAGCCTTCAGACGATTAGAAATTAGTGCTTACTCACAAGGGAATGGTCAGAAATCGAAGTGGCCAATCCAGACAAGGCTATATGCCATGATTCAGTATAAAACGCTACTTTGAAAATGTGTTCCCTATCTGCTTAGCGCCTTTGTGGAGGAAGCTAAGAGCCGTTGAATGTCATCATTTTGCTATGAAATCGTGCATGTAAGGCGCAAATTCGGCGGTACAGAACCATATTTGGTTAGCCGAGCTAAGTCGTGCAGCTATGTTACTTCATATTCTTGAAACATAAAGGTGAGCTGAAAGTGCAACAATGTGCTCAATTTCGCACTTTTTATGTACGATTTTTTCGCAACAAAATTGCTCATATTTCATCCAGAAAGGCTGATAAGCAGATATGGAATGCCGTTGAATGCTGCATCGAACAGTAAGCAGCTTACTTGGATTGGTCACTTCGACTTCTAGCTCCTTTATCCGTCGGTACATTCGCCTGATAGAATGAAAATGTTGTTCTAGTTTCTCCCGCTACCGAAATTTTCAAACTTGCTGCTCTGATGCTGATTTATTCCAAATCACATGCTTATTTTCCATCTGGACATAAGTTTGCCGAAGAAGTCGTAAGTCTCACTAAATGAGGGAACTACACGATCTTGTTTATGTTCTCTTCAATCGACAACCACATTCAAAGAAAAAACTTCCAGAAACAATTTTTTCGGATTAGACTTTGTCCTAGTCAAACAGCACAGCATAACTTACACACTATTTCAAACCGGATTAATGCAGTCACAACGAAAATGCTCATAATGAAATCAATTTCGAGATGTTCTAAATATAATTGAAATAAAGTATCTGTCATTCTGAATGATTTATGCAGCCACAAGCCATGCAGGCGATGCGCTTTCCTGGCGCTATGCTGTGCAATTGCACAAACTTTCACTGCTGTTCCATCAAAAATAATCTATGTTGAGCTTCTTGATCCCTCCCTGTTCTAAACTTTGCACTGCCAAATTTCTAGAATTTCTCAGGTTTTCAATTTTCTCGGATATAACCAACTACTCAGCTATTAACTGCCCATTTATCATCGCGCAGCTGTTATGGCTGCCATAGAAGCGCTCCAATCCCAGCCTAACTCCTTAATTTATTCCGGTAGAAGCTCGGGGTGTTGTGCGAACAAGCAGCGCAACCGCTATTGACCCGCTATATCTCGACTGACAGTGATGAATGAGCCGACCGAGCTGAATTTGATAGTGCACTCGTCGTCGCCGCCGCTGCTGCGCATCACAGGATCATGTCGGATGCACTTGATACGCGCAAGCGCTGCTCACTTGCTAATTAGCTAATTAACAAGCACTGGTGGTGATGCCAGCTCGAAATTGTTTTGGTTTTGGCAGAATTCAAATTTTGTGCGTACTTGTTTGTAGGTAAAACGGGGTAGGGAAACACATTCGAATCAGCGCAGAAGCACAATCTCAGACAATTCATCGGAACTTCCGCAGAACAAGCCAAATCTGCAGCGGTTCCGCAGGACTTTGTTTGCTATTATGAAACTTTGTAGGATTTTTACGTCTCCCACTTGACATTGGTTGAAAACGGGCTTCCGCGGGATTTTTTTACGAAGTGCTGCGGAAAGTCCGAAAATGCCAGCGGTTCCGCAGCATTTTGACCTCCATATGGAGTCATTATAACTCAGCATGTGCATTTTGCACACAACGTACGACACTCACGACTCCTTACAAGGAAACGATACTTGTTGTCCGTGGCCTTTCGAGGTAAGATGTATACCATTACACTCGCCTTGGAGCGCTGATTCCGAATCTGGCTTTCGTTTTTGCTAACCGTTTCTCGGAAAAAAGTTATGAAGGATTTTTGCGCCAAAGGAGATGAGGTAAGAATGCCAAAATCGCCGCTAAGATGTGGTGTAGTGGCTTTTGCGATAGACTCGCAAATTAATGCAGGTTCAGGTTCGAGTACTTTTGTGTTTTTCAGTTTGCATTGAGTCAACCAAGCTTCTTTTTGAAAGCAAGGCATCCTCGACCGTATTTCTCTTGGGCGATCATTGAAAATCCTTCATAACTTCTGTCAAAGAAATGATTAGCAGAAACGAAAGTCAGATTCGGAATATTTCAAGACGAATGTGAAGGTATACGTTTCATCTCAAAAAGCCACGGACACCAAGTATCGTTCTCTTGTTAGACGACCGCTCATAATTACTTGGCACATGCTACAAAGAAATACTTACAATTAGTACTTTTAGGATTTTTTTGGCTTACATTGGCATTTCCTCGTAACTAAGCATGTAATACAAGGCCGAAATTTTATGGCTAAAGTTCGAAGATTTGTAGTGCACAACTAAATAGGAAGAAACCAGGACTACTAAGGTGGAGTTTGCCATTTTCCATTTTTGCTTATTTTCTCGACTTCTAACCACGAAAAATGTAGCAAATGTAAATATGAATGAATGCACGTGTCTCTGCTTGCAGGAGCAAGTAAGAAATTTCTGGGACTTTTTGTAATAAAAATCCGATTTTATTGACGTCATAGTTTGTTCATGGATTTTGGCTTCGAACGTTGTGTTAATCTTGACTTATGTTAATGTTCAAAGTCATCTTATAGAGCTTACATTGTCCTACCATTTAGTAGCCTTTTCAAGTTTACAAAAATCTTTTGATTTGTCCATTCTTGTTGTTGTAAATTACAGTTTCCTTACTCAGCCCTATCACCACAGCAAAATGGAAAAATTCTGTTGGCAGTCATGGCCCGATTCTTTCAAATTCACCCAAATATTAGTTATTTATCATTTGTTTCCTATTGGCGTGATTCTATGAATTTTTCTGCAAATCTACGCTA